GTGGCATAGCAGGTCAAAGACTGCTTCCTCCTGGATTATGGGGGGTTTATTCCACTCATCGTCCCCATCTTCCAGCTCGGGAGGCTGGGTACCCTGGGGATAACTCATCGGGCCATTAAAGACTGAGGCAAAGAAGGTGTTGAGTATCTCAGCCTTTTCCTCGTCTTTAGTGGCAACATCCTGACCAGTAAATCAAAGAAAAGAGATTCCTACTCACGTGGGACGGAGGTGGACATCAAAGCCCCAACCCAGCGGTCTCTGTGCTTCTTTCTCTGGTTTATGTACTGCAAAATACTGAAGAGAAACCTGTTGTTAGGCAGCAGACGGTGACTCCGGGTGCTGCACAGCCTGGAAACTGCTCTTGGGGCAATGTCCGCCCGTGCGATGAGACCAAGGTGGAATCTGTGTCTCCCACCAACTGCCTCCTTGGGGCAGCAGCAACACAAAAATCAGTCTGCTGACCATCCCCGAGCTTAACAAATTGCCTAAGGTGTCTTTTTTATTTTATTTAGACAGCAAATAAAAGTGCAAATGAAGTTGAGACCCTGACTCCAGGTCTCACCCCTGCCACCCCTGCGCCCTAAGAGTCCTCCTGGAGGATAACCCAAGTTCATGTAGGAAGGAGGAAGCAGCCTGTAGGATAGGAGGATGGAGTTGAATCCTTCCCAGCCGAGACAGAAGCAAATTTGGGTCCTCTGCTCCCAGTTGTTCCTGGGGGTGAACTATCGTAACCCAGGTGGTGCAGGAAGTGCTGGCAAATGAGCACCGAAAGGTCAGTTACCCCCAAGCCCCCCTAGCGAACTCAGCGCTGCTTCGCTCGGGTGACAGAGCAAAAAGTGAAGTGGTTTTGCAATCAGATCCTACAAAACAGGGCAGAAATCAGTCGGCTAAAAGCCAAGGCAGAGGCAGCGTCATCTCCGCGTTCCCATGCTCGGCTCACCCAGGGGTGCAGCAGCACTGAAACCATTTCAGTGCCCCACAGAAGCGGAGTCAACACTGAACTGCTGAGCGTGGAGGAAGTGCAGGAGAAGATAAATTGCACCAGTTGGGTCTTACAGTGAAAATCTGAACTGCTAACAGCTCCTCAGCCTGTCTCATCCCCCAGCCAGTGGCTCAGGGTAACTCCGGGCTTCAGCACAGCTCTCGGGCTGAAGCTCACAATTTAAACATCAGGTTCAAATCAGCTGGGTTATAAAAAGCCTTCCAAGGAGGGGAAGCTACACTAAGGAAACAAGGAAACGTACCGATACTCTGACACGTGACGTTTAAGGGGGTGGAGATATTTCGGCACTGAGCTTCCCATCACGGCTGCGCTGATGGCAAAGGTGACATTGCAAGAATTTGCCACGATGGGACTTGCCAAGTAGGCAGCGTGTTGGGCTCAGGCGAGTATCCCTCGTTACAGGAGGCAATTAGCAGGTGCCCTTCGGAGGGGCTGAGCTATTTGGTCCTTACTGTGATTTGTCTGGAGTTTGTTCCCAGCGGGAGGAGAGAGGAGTTTGCGCGCTGGGGAAAAAGGACGTGCGCAGGCGCCACTGAACCGGGATAATGAACTCGCAACCACCAGCCCGAGGTCACTCTAAAAGTCCCAAACCGGAGAGAACCTGATCTAACTCCAGTGGTTAACAACCCCCCCCCAAATTCAAGCTCCTAATTTCCAAAGAAGGAAAAAACCCCGCGCTGTACATCTGCAGTGTTCCCTTCTCCCACCGCGTGCAGGCTCAGATCCTCCTGACTCCAGGCATCATTTACCTGCCTTGCATCATCCCAGCAAGAATCCCTGCTCTTACATCACACCCGAGCTCTTTTTTTGGGGGGCAGCGATGATTCCAGACCCCCACAGAAGCAGCTGGGGGCTCCGGGGAGCCAACATCCAAGGACTTGGCCAAGCTCCGGTAACCTCCGAGCCGCTGCATGGCTCTGCCTGCAAATGGAGGGACCCCGCGGGTGTAAAACTAAAGTCGTGCAGCAATTAACGGCAACGTACCTGTCAACAACGAGATTGCCGTCGTTGGTCCGCACCGCTGTCCACATGTCCCAGTACTCTGCCTGCGAAGGCTGCGTGTAGGGCCCAAAGACTGCCCCGAGCCTGAAAAATAAAAGGGTTCAGAGCGGCACGGCGGCAGCTGTGTTAGCGTAGGGCTCCAAAACGAGCCGAGCCGCAAAGAAACAGTCGAGCGCTTCCAGCTTCCGCTGAGAAATATGTGGGTGCAAGCGCAGCACTGCAAATCATCCCCCAAAGGCTCCCAGTGTTGGACTTAGCGGCCGGTCTAAAGGGCTTTTTGGGAAAAAAAAGGAGGTTTGCAACATCTGATAAAAATATATATCTGATTGCGCACCGTATGCAGAGCGTGGTTAGGGTTTTCATTGCCTCTGTCACACGCGCAAGTCCGATACTCGTGGGAGAGAAGGATTTCAGTGCACAGTGAAAAGCCGTGTGGTTTATTATTAGGCTGAAGCACTCTGCCAACCCGGAGAGGGAATGGCCTGGAGGACCAAGGTCATTCAAATCCAGGGGGAAATCTCTCCTGGGATAGTGCCGGGGCATCCGCTCACCTGCCAAATACCTGCTACGCTAATTCTAACGTTGGCCCCCTCCCTGCTTGGCCCACGCCCCCCACACCCCGTGCCCAGCAGCATGGTGAGGGGTCTGGAGCACAAGTCATACGAGGAGCGGCTGAGGGAACTGGGGGTGTTTAGTCTGGAGAAGAGGAGGCTGAGGGGAGCCCTGATCGCCCTCTACAACTGCCTGAGAGGAGGGGGTAGGGAGGTGGGGGTCGGCCTCTGCTCCCTGGTAACAGATGATAGGACGAGGGGGAATGGTCTGAAGCTGTGCCAGGGCAGGTTTAGGTTGGACATTAGGAAAAACTTCTTCACTGAAAGGGTTGTCAGGCTCTGGAATGGGCTGCCCAGGGAGGTGGGAGAGGCCCCATCCCTGGAGGGATCTAAAAGAAGGATGGATGAGGTGCTTAGGGACAGGGTTTAGTGGTGGGATGGCAGGGTTGGGTTGAAGGTTGGACTCGATGATCTCAAAGGTCTTTTCCAACCAAAGCGATTCTATGATTCTGTGATTCTATTCTATGGAGACCCGACTCACCCTCTGGAGAAGAAAAAGAAATTCATCAGCCGTGTGATAACGAGGGACAGCAAACCCCCATCCTTGAGGATCTTGGGCAGAAGGAAAAAATGAGACAGCACCACTTGGCATCGTACAGATGGGTAAATCTTGCCTCCCTGGAGGGCTTTTTTCCCCCCCCGGCTCCCTGTATCGCAGCAGTTTCCCAGCTCAGCCCTGACCCTTGATAATGCCGAGATGTACATGGGCTCTCAACAGTGAGACATCAGCGCTTCGAGGGGTGCTCAGCTGGGACGTTCGGATGAGACGAGCCGCATCCCGACAGCCCCTGCCTCTCCCCACCGCCTCTGACGATGCCTGCGAGCAGCTCAGGTGCCATTACCAAAGCGGGAAAAGCAGCAGGCATTTGAGCCAGGTAAAACCCCAAACTCACGGAGTCCGACTTCTGCTTGAGGGGCGATTCAGTACGACTAGAGGGGGTAGCAGCTCACCTTCTGGATGAAGCGGGGGTAGTGCGTTTCGGGGAAAATCCCTGGAAGCATGTCAGAGAACAGAGGTGTAACACCACAAGCATTTTGGCTCTGCATCTCCCAGTCTCTCCCCTTCTTTGTGGTGCCGCGAAAGGCCCCGCAAATGCAGCCCAAGGACCGGCGCTCCCAGTTAATTACAGCACTTTAATTGCAGTTCGCTTGGGGTTTGCGGGTGGTGCTTCCCCTCGAGTGATGGAGATGAGAAAGCCACCCTGTGCCATGGATCCCCATCCCTTCCAGCCCACCCATCCCACCACGCCAGGCAAACCTTACCTCCGTTAGATAAACAGAGACTGTTGATCAAGATGCTTCCAGTTTTGTTGTGCTCATACCTGGGGGCAGAAGAGAAGATGGTGAAACACAACGAGACCTTCTCCAGGCTCCAAGAAGTGGGTTGGACTTGATGATCTTAAAGGTCTTTTCCAACCTAAATGATTCTATGATTCTAAGTGGCCGACCAACTGTCAAATTAACAGTGTCAGGTCATCTCTGCTGTCCCTGGCTTGATAAGAAGGAGCTCAGGAGGGAAGTTACACATCCTAGCAGCTGAGATTTGATGGATGGGAGCCTCAGCTCTGCCCACCGCGGATGTGCCCTGAGGCCTCCCATCCTTCGTTACAGCCGTAGGTACAGGGGAAAAGGGGTTCTGCGCTACGTCCTTCCACTTATCTGCTGAAAATCATCTTGACAGGGACAACAAAGAGCAGCCAGAGCATCAGTGGTTGCAGTGACCTGTGGAGCAGCTCCTGTGCAACCGTATCCCCGTAATCATGGGACAGGAGATTAATTCTCTGGTGGCGGAGGCCGAGGTGACGCACCAGCCCCTCAACGATGCTGGCTTGCTCGAAGATGGAGTAGCGGTGGGGCCTCTGCAAAGCAAAGCAGGAGAGGAGCCGCAGTGAGAGCCTGACCCACCAGGGGCCCACAAACTCCAGAATAAATACCCAAATGGAGGAATATGGGGTGGAAAATGGCAGTTTGTAACCCTGGCTAGAGCAGTCGGGACGTCCTGGGCCAGCAGCTAAGTCCACAAGCTCACAGGAGCGCTGACCATGCTTGACGGGTCAAGATGGGTTTTGGAGTCACATCAAACCCAAGTAAAGACAAGATGGTGACAGAGCCGATCTCCACCACACACCTTCCCCATCCCTCCCGCTATTATAATGTCTTATTCCTTTTCCAGATGCAAATGGGAGAAGAAACTGGACTGCAAACGCCAATTTTCCGGGGATGCTGGCACAGCAGAACAGCCTCCGGGCCAAAAGCAACTGCAAAAAATCCTCTTCCCAGGCTACTTACAGGCTTGTCACTGAAACCAAATCCTACAAAATCCAGAGCGATCACCCGGTGAAACCGCTGGGTCAGCCCTTCCCAGATCTGGAAGAGAAATGCATTAGAAAAACAGCTGACGGGAGCGGAGAGAAGAAAAGTCTGCGGCGATGTGCAGCCACAGAAGGCCACGCTCCCCTCCGCTCCCCCAGACCGCACCTTCCAGCTCCAAGAAAGGTTGAAATTTCCCAATAAACAGCAAGACCATCCCCCCAAAAAAAAAAAGAAAAACCAAACCCAATAAATAGTTTTGGGTCTTTTCCTCCTGCTTTGGGCTGGAGTGTGGGAAAGGGCAACATGAAAAGAGCTTGGGTTCCATGCAAGGCACTGATCTCCCACAGCATAAAATTCCTGGAGCGTTGCCCACCCTTACGCGGAGCCACTGCCCGCATCCGTCTGCTCATCCCCAGGAGGGAGAAACCGCGGGGTTTGCTGTCGGCATCCAACCCCCCTTTTCATGTATTCGCTTCCCTCACCTTGCACCAGTCGTAGCTGGAGGTTGGGAAGCCATGCAGGAGGACGACGATGTCGGAGCTGCCAACGGCGCCGGTCGAATCTGCAATGGGGCACCTCGGGGTCAGCCCAACCAGCAGCATGGCGTTACCTCTCCCACCGCTCCCTCAAAACCGAGCATGGGTTTGACTCACACCACAGCTTCCCGGTGCTAGCGTGGCTTCGGGAACCCGGCCAGATGAGCCACCACGGCCGCCAGAACC